ACACACACACACACACACACACACACACACACACACACACACACACACACACACACACACACACTGTGCCCAGAAGTACCTGTTTTAGCTCCACCTTCATTAGCTCTCACGGTTTCAGCTTTGGCTCAGTGTGTGTGTGTGTGTGTGTGTGTGCGTGCGTGTGTGTGTGTGTGTGAGAGAGCTCTGTGTGCTACTATCAGTGTGTGTGTGTGTGTGTGTGTGCGTGCGTGCGTGCGTGCATGCGTGCGTGGAGGAGGTTGGACTCTGTGCCCTGCTGTACCTGTCTCTCATGGAGGTGGACTAAACCCTCCCGGAGCAGGCAGCGGAGCGCTGTGTGGAGCAAACGAGGGTAGATATCCTCTTCTCTGACCGCTCTCTGCTTCTGCTTCCTCTTTTCTCTCCCACCACCATCCCTCTGCTGTGACACATCTTTCTCAAGACTGCTGCTCTGGTCCCAGTCTCACTTCCCCTTCCACCTCTGTCTTTGCTGCGCGGGGATCTGTTGACCTTGAATAACAACTTTTCCTGAGACCTGAGCTGGAATGAAGGTCAGATTGTTTTCTCAGATACTCCTGTCAGAGACTTGAAGGATGGCTTGAAGCTTGTTTGCACGAGTCGTCTAGTCTCCTGTCTGCTGTTGCTTTGTGTTGTGTGTAKCGACAGCAGGATAGGGGCTTACGGTTGGTGTTTCGTTGATCTTGTTCTGCTGATTTGTGACACTGTTGTCAGCAGCTGCCAGAAACACTTGAATGGCAGGGTTCTCCTGAGTTTGGAGCTGAACATCGCCTTCCTTTGGCCTATTTTCCTCATTATGTTGAACCACTGTCAGTCAGGATGTTTAGTTTCTACTTTGCACCGGTTAAGATTTTCTGAGCCTCACAGACTTTTTTTATAGTAGGAGATTTGCTGGCTTGCAAACATTTGAACCAATAAAAAGAATCCTGAGAAAAGATCTCAGCTGCAGCATTGATTTATCATCAATACAAGAGCATTTCTTCCTCTTTCGGGTTATGGGGAACTACACTGCTCACGGCTCATTTCCTCACATGTGGAAAAAGATGAAATTTACTTGAAGGAGACGATCCATGTTTGCATAAAGCCATCCCACAGGAAGGCCATAAAAGCTTTTTATCTACTCGTAAAACAATCCTGTCTCTAATCACGGGTTAATATGCAGAGATTCAGCTGCTTCCATCAATCATAAACATAAGGTAATGGACCATCTCTGTGGCAACGACTGCAACACTAACTTTCTTCAGTCATTTGCTCCTTGACGAGTTCACAACCTTCGACCAGGTGAACTCTGGTCCTGAGCTCTGGTTATGTTTAACCAGKCACCTGCCAGCTCCAACAAAACCGTCTGAAACCAAAGCAGGAAGAAGAAGAAGAAAAAATAATAAAATCACAGCTACGAGGCCCTCATAACATTCTGCGACTGTCAGCATCTGTAAATCTTTACATCCTCAGAACAAAGGCTGTGATTTGCTTTCACCAAAGTTAATTATCTACRTGCTGCTGCCTCAGGTTTCCTCTTGGCCCCTTTCACTCACAAAGACACAAACTCGTGCAAGGACCGCCGACTGCATCAACACTTTAGCATCGATGGCAACAGTGGAGACAGTTGTTTTCTTTATTGTACTGGAGACCTGTCCTTGTGCTGTTGAAAAGGCAGATGGTAATGTTTTTACCCAAATCTGTCTTAATTTTTTTCAGTCAACCCAATTCAAGATGGCTATCACAGCTAATCCCTAAATTAAAAATAGCTATAACTCAGACAGTTATTACAGCTAATCTAACGTGTCATAGCTGAGAGTCATTCACAACCTATACTCTGAGCATTGCATCCTGTAATTTTGACCAAAACAGCTACAACTCATTTCTCAACACACCGTAATATGACCTTAATCTGGCATAGAAGACAACACATGTTCCTTCAAAAAATCCTAAGCTTTTAATTTTGTAACTTTTTTTTGGATTTGTAGCAACTTTCCATGATGTGCTTTATTTCTGTCACAGTGAACCATGAAGATGATAAAAGCAGATGAATCCAAAGTAATAACAGTTTCCAAATACACACACACAAAAATCCCAGAAAAACAAAACCTGTCACATAGCTCATACTCCCAAATACTGTCCTCCTTTTGTCATCAAAGCTGATAAGACTTGGCGTGGTGTTGGCTCTTCATGACTTCAGGAAGAGCGAAGGGGAGGCAGAGGAAGAAGTGAACACAGAAGCAGGTTTTGACAGATGTAGATAGCTGCTAGGACAATGTTACCTTCAGCGGGACAAGAAGGCTCACTTAGCAGAACCAAACAGTGACTTTCCATAGACTCAAAAATGTGTGTTCATATCAAGTTCTGTAAAAAATAAGATTTCATAACGGCTCGTCTCATCAGGGTCTCATCTTCCTGTCAAAAAAGCTAAAACTTGATGAATTTTGGGCTTAAAATGTTTGAAATGTCTTGTTTTACTCCAGTAACTACTGTTTTGTAGATTAGTTTTTATGCCAGTGAACGTTTGTGTGTCTCTCTCTCTGTGTGTGTGTGGGTGTGTGTGTGTGTGTAGGGGGGAGACTTGGCTATTAGGTCAGGTCAAATGAGTGTGCATCATGTTTCTATGGTTGCTTGGCTTTGTAGTGTTTCACCTGTTTTTGTCCAAGTCCAGGTAATCTTGTGATGCACAAAATTATACCTTCCTGACGAGCAATTTTTATATTTTTTTAATAAAAAGATGCAAAATTGTTTTAGTCTAATAAAAAGACCACTGTTCAGGCTTTGATTGGCTGCTTCAGGGTTGTAGGAGATTTTTGGTGGGATTTTGAATGCTGTGGATTTTTCCACTCTGAATGCTGGCTGTGTTGGAAAATAACAAAGTAAGAGGTTTATGTTTGAGAAGCGGATTTCTGGTTGTTCTCTGATGCTCTTTTAGGCCTGCACTCCTTAATGAATGGACACACACACACACAGTATATTGATAAGAGAGTCCAAAGTTCAACATACTCTTGTGGTTTTGTGTGTAAGTGTAGGTGTGTGTGTGTGTGGAATAGGTTAATATATTAATATTGTGAACAAAATATTTTGTGGGGTCATATTTTCCAACTATTTCCTCGTGTAGCTTAACTCCAAGTTGTCTCAATTTGTCTGACARACACAGACACACATAATGAGCATGTGACCGAGTCGTACCCGGGGAACCTTGAGCCGGAGTTTTCAGGGTTTACAGCCCTTCGTGCTTGCTGATAGGGGTCAGAGGTCAGTGAGGGATCTGAGGCACTCAACAAAACAAGGCTGTAAAAGCACTGATAGGGGAAAGACGTCCTGAGGATTTATAGACGCTGTTCCATTTGTGTGTTCAGGTCACATAATGTGTCCGAGCTGTTTGATAGATAATCTAACAGGCMTTTGTGCTCTGTTAATCATTTTGCAACTCTTCAAGCAGATCTCTCCCTGACCTTTTTATAGGTGGAATAATGTCTTTCAATCAGTTCAGTTTTTTATTATTAATATTTGTCTTCCTTTCTGTTCTGGGTTTCTCTCTTTTTTAGCAGCTTCAGTTGTCAAACATCATATGATGAATTTGCTCCTCTCCTTGTTTTCAGGCCCCCGATCTGATTGGATGGTTTTGTCAGCATGACAGCCGAAGATCCTGCTTCCTCCTCAACCATGAGCAATAACGCTGCCCCRTCCAAACCCTCCAAGCCCTCCGGCGCCTCTTATCATTCACTCCAAGGACAGAACAGCATCCCAGAGGGAGTCGCAGGAGCTCCCAACGAGTCGGCGCTGCTGACCTTGATGGAGCGCACCGGCTACGGTATGATTCAGGAGAACGGTCAGCGTAAATACGGCCCGCCTCCTGGTTGGAGCGGTCCAGCTCCTCCTCGCGGCTGTGAAATCTTTGTTGGCAAGATCCCGCGAGACGTGTATGAGGACGAGCTGGTGCCCGTGTTCGAGTCCGTGGGGAACATTTACGAAATGCGTCTGATGATGGACTTCGACGGGAAGAACCGAGGGTACGCGTTCGTGATGTACACGCAGAAGCACGAGGCCAAGAGGGCCGTGCGGGAGCTCAACAACTACGAGGTGCGACCCGGGCGGCTGCTGGGCGTCTGCTCCTCCGTGGACAATTGCCGGCTCTTCATCGGAGGCATTCCCAAGACCAAGAAGCGCGAGGAGATCCTGGAGGAGGTCTCCAAGGTGACGGAGGGCGTGCTGGACGTGATCGTTTACGCGAGCGCTGCCGACAAGATGAAGAACCGCGGCTTTGCCTTCGTGGAGTACGAGTCGCACCGCGCAGCCGCCATGGCTCGCAGGAAGCTGATGCCCGGCCGCATCCAGCTGTGGGGCCATCAGATCGCAGTGGACTGGGCGGAGCCAGAGATTGATGTYGATGAAGACGTGATGGAAACGGTGAAGATCCTTTATGTAAGGAACCTGATGATGGAGACCAGCGAGGAGACAATTAGAAAGGTGAATGTCTTAAAAACACGACAGCATGGCTTTGTTCAAATCAGATGGTCTTACTCTTTTTATTCACTTGTCAGATTTTCAGCCAGTGGAACCCCGGGTGCGTGGAGCGTGTGAAGAAAATCCGCGACTACGCTTTTGTCCACTTTACGTCCCGAGACGACGCTGTGCTGGCAATGGACCACCTGAACAGCACAGAAATCGAAGGGTCCTGCATCGAAGTGACTCTAGCCAAACCGGTAGATAAAGAGCAATACTCACGCCAGAAGGCCTCCAAGGGGGGAGCGTCTGCCACGCCTGAAGCTACTCCGCAGAACTACGTGTACCAGTGTGACCCCTACACACTGGCCTACTACGGTTATCCTTACAACACGCTCATCGGACCCAACAGGGACTACTTTGTGAAAGGTTAGAATTGTTGCTTTTTATCTTTTTGAAATGATTCTTTGCAATGTTTTTCTTAAAGCCAACTGTTTTTAAAAAAATGTTGGTGGCAGTTGAAACTTAAAGATAATAATAATGATAAAAAATGGATGATTTATATAAAAAAGGCATCCAAACAGTGATTTATTAGTGTTCATAATGACTAAAACATGACTGATTTCATGCAAAACATTTCACTTGATGTTTTGAATAACTTGATGAGCATTGTGGCTTCAAATCAAAGACATGTTGAAAGCCATGCAGAAAACGAACTGATGGACCAATGAATGCTAATCCTGTTATCTTAAATGATTGATTTAAATGTGGTCTTGGATGGGAGCAGGAAAATCTTTGTGACTATCAACAATCATTGTGTTTTGGTTTTCTCTCCAAAGGATTCCCAATGATACAGAACAATGGTAATCTCTCACATTCATACTCATACCTTCCAATGAACAATGAGCTTTCTTGCCATGTGACCAACTTTTACATTTTCTAACACCATCCTTTCCTGCTGTGTTATCACCCCGCATTTCTTCGCATTTCATTGTAGGGATCCCAGCAAAGGTCCAAATGTCCTGTTGTATCATTTAACAGTGCTGTAGACACTGTAACGTAAAAAAAACTCTGGGAAAAAAAGCTCAGGGATGAAGCTTAACAGCACCCATATGCTTCCAAATTGCATCCGTATAGATATATTTGAGGCGGTTATCATGCACAAGCAGACTGTTATGATAAAAACTTCCAAATAAGTAAAAAAAAAAGTTAATTGCATGAAGCCCAACAAAATTTGCCCAAATCCTAAACCAGAACCCCTGTAATTGTATTTTAAGCAGGTACTGTGAGAGGTCGTGGTCGTGCTGCTGCAGGTAATCGTACCCCTGGACCTCGGGGGTCGTACCTCGGGGGTTACTCTGCCGGTCGTGGCATCTACAGTCGCTACCACGAAGGCAAGACCAAACAGCCCGAAAAACCCTATGAACTGATGCCCAGTCTGGAGCTTGCTGCCTCCGTCAACCCAGTTGGCATCAAACCTGGCACAAGTCAGTGAGACGGACGTATTCGTCTATGTCCTCGCCCCATCTCCCATCTCCCTACTAAACCTCCGTCCTGTGTGGTTTGAGGAAGCTTTCATGAATCATCGTGAGAGCTGRTGCTGGATGGTCATGAGCAAAAACGACTTCCTCCATTTGAACGAATAACGACACAAAACATGCGTCTGTTCATTCATGACCAGAAAGCAGCAGCTTCGTTTCAATCTTTACTCTATCCTTCTGTTCCATCAGAAAATTGTCTTGTTTGCTGTTCAGATTCAAATCAATGCTGTGTTGAACCAACACGTGGAGCTGCATTACTAGGACCAGAATATGTGTATTTCTTTATAGGCAAAAATAACAAATTTTGTTTTCATTTGATTAGATATACATAAGGTTAAGTTTTTTAAATTCTTTACATTTTTTTGAGTTATTTAGTGCAATATCTCCACACTGTTTCAACACAAATGTGTCACAAATCTGAACAGAGTTGGACTAATACGCTTTCACACATGCGCTCAGCTCTATTTTTGACTTTAGAAAAATTCTGGACAGTTCCTTTTTATTTCATAATACAAAAAGCTGAAATATAAATGAAGAGGAATATAATCAGTCTCCTAATCAATTATTTCAAATTTAATGGATGTTTTGCTTCCCAATTTGCTGTCAAAACAAGAGCTGAAGTGCAACACTAACACACAGACTAAAGATAATCTGTATTTCCTCTTTCTTTCGATTACCTCCAAGYATAATGCCAGTGTTTGGAAGAATTTAATCTCATTCAAAATAATACCTGATTCAATTATGAAGAACCTGATGAATGAATCTTGAGGAACTTGCAGTCCAATCAAACGTAGCATTGWTTTTTTCTGATCTTTATTTTTCTGTCAGTATGCAGAAAGAAATGAAGCTGCAGTGATGCAAATATATCACACACAAATAGACACTCAGAGGAACTTACTTATAAAAGAACAGGTATTGGCTCACAATGAAAATGTTGCAGCTGCACAATAAATATAATKTTTTATAAGGTATGATAATATAGGTTTATAACTTTAAATGCAATCGATACGTTGGTGTTCTGCCTCCACACTGTACATCTTTAAATTTAATTATGAGTGAAAATACTCTGACAAGGAGGGGATACTACAACCTCAGTTTGGAGAGAGAGAGTTTAATTCTGAGTGAACTGTTTGATGAGCTAACAGCTAGTCTGAATGAGGCCACAGAGTGTGTACTGTCATTTTAAAACAACTTCAATTTCCAAAAGTTTAGGGCGATTCATGCAAACGTGTTTTTTTCTTCCAGTCATTCTGTGTTTGTCTCATTCCTGTCTCCCCAAACCCAACCAGTTGAGGCAGATGGCCGCCCATCCTGAGCCTGGTTCTGCTGGTTTCTTCCTGTTAAAAGGGAGTTTTTCCTCTCCACTGCTGCCAATTTGCTGCTCAGGATGGGAGACTGAAATGAAGATTCAATGCAATACAATGCAATCTGCTTCGTTCTTAGACTGATTGTTTTTATTTCTGTTATTTTCTTTTTTGTACAGTGCCATGAGACAGCATTGTTGTGACTTGGTGCCATATAAATAAACTGATTTGAAATTTGAATTATAAAAATTTATTCTGATATCAGTTTCAAAATTTTGACATTCCTGCAGGAAAAGCTACAGTTATTTGCTGTGTCTGCTGCTGCTTTTTGCAAGAAACCACATTTTTTATAACGCAAACATTTTTATTMAATTCTGACTGTGTAGAGCTTTAAAAAAACAGCACGCATCAGAGTTAATATAAAATGTTTGACAACAGAGTTTTTAAGAATCTAAAAATCCACATTATTCTTATCAGACCAGCCATTGGCTCATCAGTGCAGTTAGGGTTAGGTTGTTCAAAGAACCATTCACTACAGGTAAGATGGGAAGTGTTGGGGTTAGAAGTGTATTTATAATTTTCATTGAGGAGTCAAGGGGACATCTTTAGGTCAAATATACATTTTTAAATTGTATTACTCATGGAGTTATGTAACATGAAGTCTAAAAAACAGCTTAGCAGCTTACTGACTCAAAAATAAATTTAAAATATGGACATTATGTTGTATTATTTTCTAGTGAGAATGGACTTTTCAGAAATGGAAAATGTTGTGCTCTTTCTAGTTGTTGGTGAATCTTTTTCACCCCACCAAAATWTTACAATTCAAATCCAAACACTTGGAATTATTTTCTTTATTCTGAATGCTATTACAAAACTGAAATGTTTTGTCAAAATCATCAATGAATAAAATGTTTTTCATTGATTTTATTGTTGTGTATTTMGTCATCATTACAGGTCAGTTTTGTAATAGAACCAACCAACCTGAATGTGGTGTTTAGTTTTAGTCCCAGTCCTTGTTGGATCACAGGATCAGCACCAGACTGAAAAGARTTTTGTGTATCTGAAGTAATAACTGATGCTGTATTTGCAGTGTGTGAGTGTGTTCGTGTATGTGTGTGTTGTAACAAGGGAGTTAATCCACAACTGAGCATCGTCATAATCCAAATCACACCCCAGCGCCAGTTTGTGTAACGTACTTTTCTCCATTTACATTAATTGTTCCCTTCAGCTTCCCATTTTCCTCCTGACCCAACCATGATTGTGTGCATGTTTGAGCATGGCTGCAGGTCTCATGTTCCTCCTTCTGGTTTCCTCTGTGTCCCTCTCCGTTGTCCAGACTTTTGTTTATTGAGTTCTCTCTCTGTGTGTACAGTGGCACTGCCAGCTCTGGGTGCACAGTACCCAGTGTTCAGCYCTGCTCCTGCAACCAAACTGATGGAGGAGGGGAAAGTGCACACTGTGGAGCATCTTATCAACCCCCTGACCATGCAACACCCTGAACACAACACTGCCACAGCTGCCGCGGCCGCCGCTGCCTCCGTCCTGCCTGCGGTCTCCACCCCTCCACCTTTCCAGGTCTGCACCCATCCAAAATATCAATGTGTTTAATTTATACTGATTGTGATCTTCTCTGTTTAGTTTATACATAAGTTTTTTACACTTTGAAATCAGTATCTTTACTTATCTGTCTGATGACAAGTTGGCTATAATTAGTCAACATTTACATAAGTCTTTCCTTTACTTTTGAGGCAGAGGCCCATGAAATTGCTAAATGTCTGTCTTCCAGAGGCTAATACTGCTGAAATGATAATATGTTTTAATCCAATGGTTCCCAAACTTTTTAGCTTTTGACCCATAAAATAACAGCAGAGACATGTGATCCAACTATTGTTGGGTGGAAACATTATCAGGTCAAAATAAATAAGGGCATAGTAACAATTTTGATATGCTAATATCATCCATTTTTAAGTACACCAAACTCAATCTTTTCTAGTGATTAAGAGAAAAACATTGTTGTTAGTCATTTTTAAATGTAATTAAGTCTGAAAATCCATTCAAGAACCCATCTTGTTGTTCAAGGACCCCCAGGTTCCCAACCAACTTTGGGAACCAGTGATTTAAGGTATTCAAAAGTTTGTTAAAGCACAGTTTGTATTAGTATTTCCTTCAACAACCACCAGAGGGGGCTACAGCCCTGTTAGCGCCACTTTTCTTCTGCTAATGGTTGCAAAATTTAATACTTTATGCTGGTCTACTACAACACTAATTACTACTACTACTACTACTACTACTACTACTACTACTACTACTACTACTACTACTACAACAGCTGTATGAACAGAGGTCTATAAAGTACTTGAAAAAATAACTAAGTAAAAGTAAAATWACATGAACAGAAAAGGACTTTGGTGAAAATAAATTTCACTGATGAGAAAACTACTCAAGTAAAAGTTGTAAAACTGTTTTAAAAAATTGGGAAAGTAGAAGTAAAAGTATTTTTACACACTCTATAAGAAATAAAATTATGAATTTACTGAACTAAACTGGTTCCGCTAAGCCAGGTTGAGTAAATTGAGCAATATATGTATATTCTTTGCTCAATTTACTCGACTAATCTTAGTGGAACCAGTTGACGTGACTTTGTTGAGTAAATTCAACACTTCATTTTTTAGAGTGCAGAAACATCTTATTTCATGATGAGTTCGAGCA